TGTGGTTAGGTTTGTCACATTGCAACTTTTAGTTAGTTGCTCCCCAACATTGTGGGACAATTTACCTTTTATTTAGAGATCTACACGCCCCACTGAAGTTCAAAACATGCTCATCCCAATTTCTCCACTGCTTTTCTGTGCACGCTCTGATGTGTCATGCTACTGTGAAAAGGAAAGTGAAGGAAAAAAATATTAGAGGTAGTGCAAGTCGCTGTAAATAAACAGAGGTCACTGACCCTATCACTAAACTTCCAGCTTAGAAGGGTTAGAGAATGAGTGCGAAAATCAACAGGGAAGAAGTGCAAGAAAGGCTGAATTCTGATCTTTGTTGTTGTTATTTTTATTAACCATGCTGTAACAAAAGTTGAAGAGCATTTCCATGGGCAAGGATATGTCTGCTCATCTCCACTATTGATGTCAGCCCTAGAAGAATCATTATGAAAATGAAAAACACTGATGAAATAAAGTGGTGCCAAAGCATATTCACATATGAGCTCAGCAAAGGCCAGAGCAGGTTGCAGAAGATCTGACACTTGATGTGTATTGAGGATGCCAAAGTGGACAGCTATTCGCTTTGGTACTTCAGAATAATAGACCATCTGACTTGGATCGCTATTACCAAGGCCACTCAAAACAGCACCTCCATTTTAATGTCTTTTTTTTTTTTTGGAAAGGTTCAACCCATACAGACAGACAGGTGGCAGGCACAGGTACAACAACATCACGACACATGATTGAAAAGCCATTCAGAAAATGTGAAACCTGCTCGAGAATATACAGCATCTGAAATTGCATTCATTGACTTTATCTGCATTGCCAGCTGTCACACTAAAGGCTGTGCCATTTTACTGCATTCAGATGACTAAGAGGAAAAAAGTCCAAAAAAGCGCCGCCAGATACTAAAAGTGAATTATGACCACCTGAAGATAATCTGACCTTCATGAACATACACTTGATTACATGTGCCACTTGATTATAATCATCACTATTACATGCTGTGCTAAATTGCATTCTTGCACTACAGGTGAGCTTTGTTTTCATATTTCTTTAGTGATTTGTGTATTTTGCACAGACTCTATGTGTAGACTCTTTGTCTCTGTTCCAAGGGAGATCTACATGGGTCAAAACTATGATTAATGGGGAATACGTTAACTGAATCTTAAATGAGCTTTTAAAAACAAGTACAAGGAAAAATATGTCAGGTTCTTGTAATTGTCGCTAAAGAGGAGACCCTCTGGGTCATGATTCTCTAACCCTTTTTATTGTTTTATAGACATGCTTGAATGAATCAAGTTCAGTATGTTTTATGAGTTGTTTAAATGCAGTTGAAAATGGTTGAATTAATCATTTCAGAGTGCAATATACATTTCATACTCATTCACTCTTTAAAAAAAAAAAAGGATTTTAATGTGGTCCCATGATGAGCCTTTAACATCTATGGAACCTTGCCATTACACAAAAGATTCTTTATAGTGGAAAAAGGTTCTTTTCATTTTTAAGATGTTCTTCACAGTAAAGAAAATGGTTCTTTTTACTAAAATTTTCTTTGGGGAGCCCAAAATGATTCCTCTATGACATTGCTGCAAAACCCTTTTGGAACCTGTTTTTAAGAGTGTACATGCATCACTTTACGGACTGACATTAGCTAACAAGGGCTACTCTTGACTTCTGGTAGTGACTGGTGGGAACAAAACATTTTAACCCTTGAGATAGACTTGGTTGTATTCTACATTTGGATTACCAACAATAAAGCCTCCTTGTGCATTCATAAAGCTCTAAGGAGCAAGGTTTTACCGTGAATGAAGAGTAGTCAAGGACGGCTCCTCTTTGAACACTATTGTTAGCTCCATTAATGCTGTAGCATGGTAGAGCTTTTGTCTTGTGACCTCTCTACCTCTGCAAGTCAGGGATATGCTAAATAACTCAATTCTAGCAGGAACAGTGCATCATTATGCAGAAGTAGAAAATGTAACAATCTACCTCTAACAATTTGTGATGTATTATGCCCATTAGAACACCTAATGGATTTTAAATACTATTCAACAAAACCTTTTCATTAAATATCATTCATTCTGACCATGAAAACTGAAAGGTAAAATTGCCCTCGGCTGCCTTAGGACACAAATTATTCATTATTCAAATCTTAAAGAAATGGATTATTATTTGTGAAACATCATGACTGTTTCTTTCTCTACAGTTTCACCAACAACTTCATATTATAAAAATACCTCAGAGATTTTTCCCTGGGCTCAACTGATAACAAAATAAAAGCACAGAACCTTGAATTAAGATTTCAACAGATTTAAAAAAATAATAAAAAATGTTATTCTCAGACTTTTGTTTAAAGAGTGGGCAATGAAGTCACAATAACGAATAATCCACAGGTACAGGCATCCAACAGTCTTTTTAAAGAGCGGGGCGTAATAGCCTTGATACTTAAGTCAAGAAAGCTTTGCTTTATTCAGATAATTGCAGCTCGGGTTTAGCGAGTGTGCTGTAAAAGCATGCTGCCTCTGGAATGGCTGCGTGAGCAATACTTTTATAAATCAAGAAGGCATGACCAAACACAATAATGGCCAAAGAGTGGGGGGAAATGAGAAATAATTCACCTTGTACTGTACAACAACCTTCAGTCTGTGAATGCCGTGAACTTGCTTGTAAGATGTCTGTAGTGTAAAACAGAACATAATTTCAACACTGATATGCGTTTCCTGTTAGCAGGCACAAAACTGTATTTGAAAGATCTCTCAAAGCTGGAAAAAAAATAAAGGGCTGATTTTTGGAATGTATATGCTGTTCTTTTCCATGCAACTCAAGAGGATGGAGATTTTTCTACTGTCCAGTTCTAAAAAAAACACAAAAAAGCACAGTAAACAGCAAGATAGTCAATTAACAATGACTCAAATTTTGGTCTGTTCTACACATGAAGATATCTTTGTGTAACACTACACATTACATGGTTTCAGAAGATTTGTAATGGGCTTTTATTTGCTTTTGTGAAACTTGACAGTAAAAAAAAAAACTCCACTTTAGAAAAAGCAGTCTGGATATTCTTTTAAATAAATATTTTAACTAAAAACTAAACACAAAACAAAAAAGCAGTGTTTGATTGACACGTGAGTTTTTAGTAAATGGCCCATTTTTAATTTTTTGTGTGAACTATCCCTTTGATTAGTGTTCTCATACACATAAAAGCAAAATACGCCGCCAATACAAACATTGTGTGGCAAACGGAAAATGAATAAATCGCATCATAAAAAAACAATGGTATGTGAAGTTCCCAGAAAGCAGAATGTGTGTTGCATCACAGTCTACAAACTACTTAGAGAGAAGAGTACAACAAGTTCTCTTGCACTTTGAATGTCCTTCTGGACTCTTTATTTCCCATGCATAGTTTGGACAAGTGTGTAGTGGAACTTTTTGTAGCTGGAGAAAAAAACAAAAACAAAAAAAAAAACAAGGAAAAAGGTTGACATTCATTATTTTTCCATCAACATTTTTAATTATTCACAAAGTATTTTAATTATCTTTCATTTGTTTTAGAATGTTCTAAATTCATGAGTAAGTCCTTCGGGGATAGGTTTGGACAAGGAAAAGTGCTGTAAAAACATAAATACATACAAAAAAGCTTCTAAAACTAAAACATTCAGCATTTTTGTACAACACAGTGCAATAGAAAAGGGATCTGGAAAGGTCAGGTTTTCAGCACTGGTCTTTTGGACTTGCGACACTCGCTAAATGATAAAACCACGGAATTGTAAACGCCTCTGTGTGAGTTCATGATGGGTGCAGCACCGTTTCAAACCCACAACAGCATAGAGAAATTTAAACTGTTCTCGTTTGCACGTGGTTCTGCGTATTCCTGTTCTTACCGCAGAGACAACTGAGGTTGCTTTTTTGTAACACAGGAAATGGGAAACACCACTGGTAACATACACAAAGTCCACTTAGTGGCGGAGAGTGACGAGCTTTGTGACCCGTTGTTTCAGACATATTGACGAGATTCTTTGTTAAGGCTTTGCCAAGGTAGCCTGCACAGGATAGATTGCATGACGCTGTTCTTTTCAACATACACGCACATGTAGAGGAGCATAAAACATCACTGATTCATCATTGAGAATGCAAAATCAAAAGGGAGAGAGAAACAGAGCGAAAGAGAAAAGGACAAGAGCGACACTGGGTTGCCAGTTTAAGAAAGAAGCATTACGAGCAATGAGTCAGTTTCAAATTCTCTTGCTTTCAGTGGCCTTCAACATCATTTAACAGTGTGCAAGACACTGATATGAATCTATTCAATGCTATACTTCATTTCAAGGTTAAAAATAAAAAAATAAAAACAACATGCCTTTCTCTGCATGTCCATGATGGTTCGTCTAGAGTACACATGGCACTTTTCTGCAGGTCAAAAGGGTTATGGATTTGAATCAGTGAAAGTTTTGTGTTCGGGAAGAGACAAGGTGAGCTGGTGACTAGACACAACAAACATCTTACACTGTTCGGAATCCAAACCCTAAAACCCCAAGACAGTCCTTAAATCCGTAATGAACATCCATCTGATGGAAAATGTCTGTCTGGGAGCCATGATGAAATACCGAGACAGTGTAGTGTGTGCCATCTTCTCCCTTACTAGACCAACACTTACAGAATTTCCTCAAGTCCCAATGATCAATGCAAAAAATTAAAATATGACAAATTTTCATTTGCAAGAACCAAGAAAAACACCACACTGAAGATTGAAATGGTTCCTTTTGACGGTATGAAAACAAAAAAATTTCTTTCAAAAGAAACTAGGTAGTATTTTTAACTTGCATGAAATGCATGAGGATGATATATAAATAGTTTCTTCACATTTTTTTTTTATCATTCAAAAACTTTCATCTTGAACTGGTAACCAGGTGACACCAATTTCAACTGGGTTACTCATTTTGCACTCCTTTTTCCCCCCTCTCGAGTCAGTGTATTGACAAAAATCTGCAAACTGGGTTCTATAAAGACCTCCACTAGGGGTCAGAATTAACCCCAAATGGGTCTTCAGCGGAGCCACTAGGACTTTGGCTACCCTCACTGGCCTGCCCTCCCCCAGGTCCCTCTCCCTCCGAGGATGATGAGCAGGTGGCCTCTTTCAGCCCTGGATCCTCAGTTTTCACCTCCACTAACTTGGGCTCTAAGGCCGTGCCTCCTGGAGCAGGGTCAGGGTAGCTAGGAGAGGCCGAAGCCGCGCGGCTGACCGGTCTGGCCTGGGGTGAAGCAGCATGAGCAGCAGGAGGAGCAGCTGCTGTGACCGCCCCTTCCTTCATCAGGCCTGCTGCCTCACCTTGCTGATGCCTGCTGGAGCAGTAAAGCCTCTTGTGGACATAGAAGTTGTTGATGTTGTTGAAGGTGATGTCACATTCAAAGCAAGTGGTTCCTTTGTGAACGCTAGCAGGAGAACCTGGTGGGTAGAGGCTCTGCTGTCCAGCTGCTGGTCCTTGTCCCTGTTTAAGCCTACTGTGTACCATCTCAGACATCTTAGCCAGGATCTCAGACGCTTGTGGCATTATGGCAGCCTCGGAATTGAACATGTACTGTGGTAGAAACATTGTACCTCCAGGGAGAACCGAACCGCCCATTCCAGGGTGTACGGGACTGGAACTTGGAGTGGGACTGGCTGGCTCCGTCTTAACCGCCACCACTGTGGGGCTCTTAGGTGAAGTAGACAGCAATGAGCTTGCCTTCACAGCATTTCCTTCAGGACTACACACCTGCTCTTCTTCCTTTGCATCATTTTCATTGTCTGAACGTGGCTCCTCTTTGATATTGAGTTGGTTGAGGGGACTGCAGCCTTGAGAGGCTGAGCTCCCATTGGCTCCTGGACTGGAGGAGTCCGGTCGGGGCACGCAGGCAGCAGGCTCCGTCTCTTGCAGCTCTGGAAGCTCAGAGGAAGGAGGACTGCTCTGGCGAGGTGCAGGGCTCCTCTCAGCCGGAACCCTCACTTCCAGGTGTGTGTGGACATGCTGCTGGAGTAGGGCAGGTGTGTCAGCAGAGTAGCCGCACACTTGACATTTCAGAACAATGCCAGTGTCTCCTGGACTCAAGCCTGTCACAAAGAAAGAAATGACAGACATTCAGATACAGGACGACTCCTTTAAATCTTATGATTAATAATACTTTTGTCTAAAATATTATTTAAAGGTCAACAGATCTGATGAATAGTTCGGACATAGTTTTAGAGACAGGATGTAGCCTTGAAGTAATGTCTCATATCTCCGCATTGTATGTGCGAGTATACTGTGTAAACATGTATTTTAGTTATTTACATAATTTAAACAAACTGTTGTATGAATAAAATGTATTCACTTATTTTGAAATAAATCTTTCTAAATAAATTTTTCTAAACTGACATGCTTGAGAAATCATATGAAGCATTGAGACTAAGTTTGCACTGGATTTGTTTGTGATCTGATATTAGAGCTGTTACCTGCAGCCAGAGGCGGTTTGGGTGAGTACACCTCACTGTGAGAGCCAGGCTGGCAAACCATGTGACTGGTGACCAGGTGGCTATACAGGATGTCTTGCGTTGTGGAGATGAAACCACAGCCGTGACACACACCATTCAGCGAGTCTGTGTGAACCTTCAAGTGCCGCTCACAGTTCGCCTTAGTGGTGAAAGCCGACAGGCAAATCAAACACACAAACGGACGCTCTCCTGGAGACACATTAAGAGACAAAGACATACTTACTTACAAATCAGACATAACAGATAATTCGCTATAACACTGCTACTATTGCAAGCGTGCCCATTTCAAGAAAGGAAAAAACAGTAAAAAGAAAAGTGTCTCACCACTGTGTGTTCTCATGTGGATCTCCAGAGAGCTGACACTGGGGCAGCTTTTGTTACACTGCGGGAATGAACACATCCTCTCGTTAGGGTACGAATCTTTAGGCTTGTCCTGTGGAGGAGAGGGCGAGGTCTGCTGCTTCTGTCGGCTTGCGCAGTAGTACATAAGATGGGCCTGGAGATTTCTCTCACTTCTGTACCAGATCCCACAGTCTTTGCAAGGGAAAATGTCTTCTGCACACACAAACACACAAAATACGACAAGTTAGAACAATGCTAACAAACTATTTATATCTTGAAAGGATAATGAGTTATCACAGGGGATGTTTAGAGAAGGATATCCACTCATTTCTTGGTGTTGCATATTTTTGTGCTTTGTGTGTACAGACAATACATGGATTATCCAACTAATAACTTTAATTATTTCGAAAACTATTACTTAAACAATAATAAAGTTTTTTTTTCTGATATGTTATTTATCCCATTCTAACTGATAAACTTTTAATTATATGTGTATTCAATGTTTAGTTATGCACCCATTGTATATATAACCACACACAAACATAATACACACACAATTATAAATCAGAGAAGGCAATCAGAATTGTTCCATCATCTCCACGGCAACGGGCACAGTGAGTTTGTGGTGTGCATTGAGAGTGTGTGTGCACGTAATCTGGCCGATCTGGAGTCGGGGTACATGCTGAACAGGCTATATTTGACCGTCACATCCCAATTATCTGTCTACTTGCAGCCCAGCTAATGCAGTGGGAAGCACAAAGTTGGGCTGATCATGTTTTACCCTTTAGCCTTATTTACAGTGATTATTCATGTCTTCATCATGGCATGTCCGTGTCCACTCCCACTCTTCATGCAGTTTAGCAGATATAGTGGAGAGGGCTGTACCAGCCAATTAACTCTGCAGCTGTTGGAACTGACACAACACTGCCACCTACTGGCAATGGGCATGAATGACAAGTAACTTAAAGGTTAAAGGTGTGTCATTTTTTCCATGTTAAAATACTATGGCAGGGGTGGCGAACGTCGGTCCTGGAGAGCCGCAGCCCTGCAGAGTTTTGCTTCAACCCTAATCAAACACACCTGAACAAGCTAATCAAGGTCTGAAGGGTTACTAGGAATCTACAGGTAGGTGAGTTTTAATTAGGGTTGGAGCTGAACTCTGCAGGGCTGCGGCTCTCCAGGACCGACGTTCGCCACCCCTGTACTATGGCATTGCGAACTTGAAAAATTCTGTTCTGTTTGATGGCTGAAATAAGATCTTTTTCATTCTAAATCCTTTTTGCAACATCTAGCAACTTTAAAAATGCAAACAAATATGTATCCTACATGCAGGTTCAAATTTTGTCTCATTCCCAAATCAAATGTACAGAAGTTCTTTTAATTAACATTTAAGTAATATACAAAACTATATTAGTCAGTGATTATGTAAGAATGTATTACATGTAGGCTGCATTTAAAATAACTGCTGTTTTAATATAAAAAAATGAAAATGTTCAAAAGATTAGCATTTGAAATAGTAAAGCCTTTTACATTGCTACAAAAGATTTGTCACTTCAGATCAATTTAATGCATCCTTGCTGAATAAAAGTATTAACTTCTTACAAAGAAGAAAATAATCTTACTGACCCCAAACTTATGAATACCAAGGTATTTTACATACGTACACTGTGCTACTGGAATATTACCATATTCATATACTATGGTATATAAATGGTATGTTATATGTTATGATCATGGTACATGTCCATTATAACAGTATAAAAAAAATATTGCCATGTTCTAGTGTCTAAAAAAAAAACTTTTTTATGTCAACATTCTTTTGGTTAAAAAAAAACATTCATTTTAATCTATTAAGTATTATGCGTCATGATTTACGCACATATGCACAAACAAGGCCCACCATCCATAATCACAGATGTAAACACACTCAAAAAAATGCATGAAGCTGTGTAGACTTGATGCGTTTATCAGCAAGCAGTGACTCACTATTTACGACAGCAGTTGCTAAGATGGCAGCCATGCCAGCCTGTTGAGGGAGGAGCTGGATCTCAGAGTGTAGAGCAGCGGGGTACGCAGGCTCCTCCTTCACCCGCAAGCTCTGGGTCTGAGTCACCGCTGACTGATCTGTGGTGGAGCAGGACAGCGTTGCCAGAAGTGCATCTCCACTGGACAGCTCCTGCGTCAGCTTACAGAATAACGCTCCTCCTGCAAAACAAACAGTCACTGTTAGACTCTCCATCTGACACTGTAGTGAATGTGAGAGGTACATGTGGGAGTGTTTGGGTGTTGTACCCTGATTGTAGATGGTGCAGTTTGACTCTGTGGGGCTTGAGGTCACAGGAATCCTTTTGAGCCAGCAGTCTGCCTCCTCACACTTCATAGACAATACAGGCCTCTAAAAACACACACAAGCGGAAAGAGCAACAAGGTCAGCCGTGCAATTTTAAAAGAACACGGACAGATTTAGAGCAGGACTCTGTGCAACACTTCCAGCAGATCCAACACAGAGGTTATACAAAAGACACTATTATATTAAAATGAAAGCTATTTATGGTTAAGATTTCTCATTTCCTTTTTTTTTAAGATGGGTTCATTTGCATCCTTTATACGTATGAAAGGACTTTTTCAATATGCATTTACCAGTCAATATGCTGGAATATCTTTAATGCAGTTCTTTCCTAAAATGGTTTGCTTTAAAATCTTTAAACTGAATCCTTGAAATTAAGTCAAATCCATTATATGTAAAACACAAATAACTAATCAATAGACAATTTCTCTTCAAATATATTCAAGTAGTTTGCCTGAGTGCTATTTTTAAAATGCAAAAAAAGTTTTGTTATAAAATGCAATTTCACATTCACAGAATGTGGTAAAGAAACAAAAACTTTCAAAATAAAAACCACTCAAATTTTAATCTAAAAATCTAAAATATATTTTCTTTTATAAATGTTTTTTGTAATAATATTTTAATTTTGAGACTTGCCGTTAAAGCAGACATAAAACAAGTTTCTGTGAGATAAATAATAATAATTTTATATATTATTAGTAGTAGTAGTAGTTTTATGTTTAAATTAATATTAGCTTAAGAATATATATATAGAATAACCTTAGTTTTTTTAAATTGGTTTTGCATTTAAAATAGACAATACTTATTCTATAGCATAGTATACACTCATTTCTGGTATTTCCCTAGGGATTGGTAACACTTATTTAGCCACTGAAAAACCCTTATTGGTTGACCACTACTAATTTCTCAGCTTGCGGTCCTCCGTTCCCATAAATTTTCAGCTGTCTATTCACTACAAAACTGCTTTTGAATTGCACAACCACCTGTTTATCTGTGAGAGACACTGTGACATTTTTTTTCAGCTCAAGAAATGGCTTTATGTTATGTTCAAAGAAACACAAAAAGCACGTTCACATTTAATCCCTTCTTCCTGATACCATGCCATTAAAATTCAGCATCCAGCATGCCTCTTTTAACTTTCAATATCATATAACCAGAACTAGACTTCCTGACCAATAAATAGTTTTAAATAATTTTGCTTCCAACCACAGACATTAAAAGGGTAAAAATAAGAACAAAGACATCCTACTATAGGGGACTGGGCAGAAGGATGCAAGGAGTAAGAAAAGATTAAAAAGAGGGGGGGGGGGGGGGGGGGGGGGGGGGGGGGCCCCCCCAAGGAAACCTGGAGGTTGGAAAGGGGATATCATGCGGGTATAGCAGATCCATTTCAACAGAACATTTTCAGTAAACCTACCAAAGTATGCAAAGGTGGAATTGTGTATTGGCAAGCTGGCAAATATCCGAATAAACACCCTTGGACTTTTCCACACAATCGTTTCGATGTTTAGCTGAAGCATACGTTAATAGGTTTCAACGTCAGATTTAACAGAAATTCTCACTCACAATGAACTGCAGAATGACTGACAAACTCTGTCCCAATCAAATCCCAATAAAGGCATTGTATGGTGCTGATAACAGGCTGTATATATAAAATGAAAGCTTGATGTTTAGGCTGAAATTCACAAAATTGAGTGACTGATCCATTCCACTAGGTGGCAGCATTTCTGCAGGGCCAGTTCAACAATAGCCTCATATTTAAGAAAAGCTTCCCACTCGTTCATTCACTCGGCTACACAAAGTTAAAGACTTGCCCTTGGGGAGACTAGTCCTTCTATCCCTGACATGCTACCAAATCAACTTTAAAGACAGGAGAAAATGAAAAGACATTAGTTCAACTGTGTAAAGGAGGATAAAAAGCCACCAGTCGAGAGGATGAGGGGAAGAGATGGGCCGCAGAGGAGGACAGCTGAAGGGTTTCTTTCTAATTCGGTCTGTTCTTGCCTGAAGATACAGTCCGTATTGTATTTCATGGGGAACTAGTGCTGATAAGGAGATAGGGCTCCTTTTGTTTTAATTTGAAACCCAATGCTGGAGCCGTCTGTGGTATAAGTGCTGTGTGCTTCTGCTAATTTGTTTCAGACTCATTTAACACGACTCGACTTTAAGCTTCACAAAAGGAGAGGGCACCCTGGTCAGCTCTTGCCTTTGACAAAACACTTCCAGACAAATGCGTTCTCTAATTAAACACACACACATATTGACACACAGACAGATCCGCATGTGCAGATGCGCACGAGGAGTAAGTGAAGATGGAGTAAGTGAAGATGTAAATGGTTATGACCCACTGTCAATAGCGAACAAGATCTAGTTCAAAGCAATCAAGACAATCAGAGCGGATAATTATTTTTTTATGTCTAAATAAAAGACATCTGTAAGTGGCCAGGTGACTAGATGCATCACTTGGGCAAAAAAGTACCACAAGATCTAGCAGAAAAAGACCAATATTTCATGAGGCCCAAAGTTTTGGTCACATCACTACATAGGATTTTCTTCCAAATCATTAATACTAAGTTTTTTTCCAATGATAATTTTTTAAAGAATTGTAAGAATGATCATCTTAATTAAGTGGCACAAGTGATTCCAGACTGCAAAAGGTAACATCAGTTGTGACTTGCATATCCTCTAACTGCCTTTACATTGGTGGAAATTTCATCATCGCATGTTTATCTTGGAAAGCAAACGTTTTTGCTTCAGAACTCCATGTGGTGACAGATGTGGAAAATTGTACATTAATTGTGTACAATCCAGACCCATGCAGTCTTGTGCAATATCATGGAGTTGCTCTATAGACCGATTGGTGTTTTCATGATTTTTTGACAACGTGAAGCACTTTTTACTGAAGAACAACAAAGAAAACAACATAAATGTATCATCCAAAGATTTCTTTTTTTTTAAATAAGTGTATTCTGTGTTGAAAAAATCTACTATACAGCAAGACAAAACAGACTTATATCTAAGATAAATTCTCAAAAAAAAAAAAAAATAAAAAAAGTCTAAAAACAAGTGCTGCGTTAAGTAAATTTATCTTGTTTCATGCATTTTAAAACATTGATCTGGAACACAGAAGAATTAAAAACTCAATAAGACAATTTTTTTGCAGTGCACCGGCCAAAGGCAGGTAAATTGAGAAAATCTCAGGCTATCAAACTACATGTTTCAGTATTTTATATTTAAAAAAAAAAAGTTAATTGTGTATCATAATGCAAAAAAAAAAGGCACGTTCTGGAGAAAAAAAAAACCTTTGGTATCCAATAATTGCAGTGCACCGGCCAAAGGCAGGTAAATTGAGAAAATCTCAGGCTATCAAACTACATGTTTCAGTATTTTATATTTAAAAAAAAAAAGTTAATTGTGTATCATAATGCAAAAAAAAAGGCACGTTCTGGAGAAAAAAAAAACCTTTGGTATCCAATAATTTCTGAAATTTCTAAAAGTCATTGCAATGGAATTTTTTCCATAGTTGGCCTCAATTACATACGCCACATCCATGAGGATCAGACTACCATTCTTACAATTCAATTTAAACCATATAGTGTAACAGACAAAGTTACCAGCCACATGAAGAACAATTTGGCACTTTGTGAGTGTCAATTTTGGATCCTGCTTAAATGTATCTGAACATCATATAACAATACAATTTGTAAATCATGCCTGAGTTGAAACCAAGTGTTAAAGATGCCAAATGACTGATAGTTACAAAATGCATTGTTATTGTAACAAGCCTGAAAACGCAGGTAACATGTAGTCATGCCACCTCTGTGTGAGTGGTTGAAAGACAGCGTGAAAAATAGAAAGTAGGCTATCATAAAGGAAGAACGCCACATGTTTTAGAGTGTAACCCTGGTGCTGGTGAATATACCCCCCACCCCCTGATGCACAAGGAACTAGGGTACTTTGAGAGTGGCGCTTTAAGCCCCACCGAGTATGGAGCTTTGAGGAACAGTCTAAGCCTCCTCGTCCGAGCCCTGCTCCTCATGAATATTAATGACGAAGGCCGTGCTTTAATCTGCCTGATCCCCGCACTGCTGCCGCCGCCCTGATAGCGAATCTAATTATTTGGTCTGATATTAACCAGCCCCCTCCCTCCCTCCTCCTTACAAACGCACGCCATCAGGAAAAGAGGTAGATGCACCTTTCCATGCACACAAACACACACTTGTGCACAACCATCATACCACAACACCTTAAACTCACTCGCACAGTCAAGCCTGGTGTGTGCAAGCTCACAGTGTTATCATTCTTAAAAACACCCTCCTCTCGTTCTGATAAAAGTTAAATGCAAATGATTCTTGGACTATTTTCGCTTCTCTTTTTGCACATCTCCTTTCTGTGGGGAGAAAATATCTTTCGCCGTCTCCTTTAAAGAGAGAAACAGGACCGTATCTCTCAGTGACCCTATAGTATGACCCCTCGAGTCAAATCCATCCAGGTTTACAGAGCCAATTAAAACCCATCAAATTGACTGAACTCATCTGCCGGCAGTCAAAGGACAGGCCAGTTTATCGGACATTATTAGAAATCATTTATGCGTCTCTGGAACACACACTCCATATGCTTCACATGTAAATGTTTAACGCATTAACAGTGTGCTAACACTAAAACCAATGCTCATTATGATAGCGTGGAACAAGGTTTTAAAAGGTGTTTGCTCAAGATATGACAGTATGCATCTCACAATGTGTAATCCTGCAGTCGTCTGTGATGCAACACTTGCAAGAAGTGAAAAAAAAGAAGCTCTGATGTGTCATAAAACAGCCTTCGTTAACAGAGGCACCCACTCAGTGTTAATTGTCTCAATTCACTGAAATTACTGAAGAAAAATGTTTGTTGACTTCGCAATAATGAATATGAGATGGAAAAGATGAATCACAGCTATAATTTGACAAAAATATCACACACACACACACACACACACACACAATACTGGGGATTGATCTGCTCTAGCTGAAAAACACAAGCACCAGTACACAGAACTGTTTTGCTAG